TCTCTATTATGCGAAACAGAGCCAAAAAATCAAATTTCGTATGGACATTTGTATGGGCTATACACGATAATCCCATTGACATTTGAAAATATAATTAGATCGTCACTGTTACTTTGTTTCGTACGTTAATTATCCTTTATCTTGGATAAGTAATGAAAGTGTCTAGTTATTTTGTGGTCAATATGTGAGGCCATAAATTGAAGGAAATCCAGCAGGTTTTATAATTAGACAAACACACATAACGATTGTGGTTGAAATCTAGCACATGGACGCTGTCCTTGAATAGCAGACGTTGAAAAATTATGATTAACTCAAGCAGAGCTAATGAGATTAAAAAAAAAAAAAAAAAAGAGTTGCCAGGTGTTATTCCAGTGATATACTAAAGTTATTATCGAAGGCGAGCACATTTTTACGCAAGTGAAGTTTTCTTGTTATTTATATTTAGTTTTAAAAATGGCCGTCTTTTGAAGACGATCCGTTAGTGCAACAATTAGGCATGATTTCATAAATAGAACTGTATCCTTGCCAAAAACTCCTCTAACTAGTGGCTGTACTGCAAACAGATGATTAGGACGTCTATCGAAGGGGAATACTGCTTTTGAATAACGATATACCGTTTAGGATGCTACGTGTAAAGCTATGAAAAAGCAAGAAACATAAGAAAAGGGCCAAATTACTGACGATTAGATTAATCGTATGGAATTTTTCTATGATAAGCCCCGATCGACGATACTATTGTTTATTTCTCTAAATTGAGATTTGACCAACAAGAGTTAGTCGTCTTCCAAACATACACAGCTTTCAGGGTGCGTCCTTAAGCTCATAGTTTACAAAAAAAAAACACTAATGCAAACCAAAGTTGGAAAAATTTTAATAACTTCACCTTTACGTAATCACGCCATGTTAGATGTCTCCAGACAGAATAATCAACCCAGTCAGATTGTTTGGGTTAACAAGGTCTTCTTGTGAACGGAGGCACCATATATCGTATTGTAACTTTAATTATACGTTTATCATCGTGGAAACATCTATGAAATGTCTCTAGAGATTTTAGAGAGGTTACAGCACATAACAGTTATGCCTTAGACGGCTAAACCTGTGGTCGAAATGGTCAGCGTCGATGATCGCAGGTTGTGCTATTGACATGCGCTTTAAAACATGGCTAGACAAAGAACACTCAAGGGATTTTTAGTAAAGGTGCGGACGGGCGGGGCTGTTTTAAAAAGAAAACGGAAAAACGTTTTTGAAATACAGTATTTTATTAACCAGCTAAAAGGTATTCGCCTGACGAAGTTACGGCGACGTCCGAATTTGACGGGATGACCTTTTGGTCTATTGAACAGCCGATTTTTCTACTTCAACGTTCAGGACGTGCGACTGGGATGTACTGATTGAGCGGTGGGATTATCAGCTAGGACTAGCAGAAAATAATTGCTGTGAAGATGGATAGCAAAACCTTTTTATTATTTAATTTGTACTACACCGGGACAGCGTTCAGTGTTGCCGAGGGTCACAGCAGGTAGGATGTTGCTTCATGTTGATTAAAGAAAATCAACAATAATTTTAACAGGAGACGATTTTTTTAAGCGCTCCAACTGGAGTTAAGGATAGAAAACGGTAAATCTTCCTTTATTTTTTAGCTGATTCGCATAACAACAGCCTTTGCGCTATGCCTGACCACAAAGATATCCGCCACTTTTTAATTTATGGTAAATACTATTATCAGCAGGATTTTAAATCATAAAGAACGATCGAGTAAACCGACGCTGCTCGCAACTTTCATTCAGTGTCACAATATATGAATCACCGAAAATTAAAGCAACTCCGATAAAAGTATAGAACTTTATTACTGTTAGAGTGTGGTGGCGTTTTACGTTCGGTACTTAGGCATTACTTTAGATGGCTAGCTTTCAGGACGAAAACAAAATGTGTCTCTGAAGAAGCGGATTGTGCCGACTTACTTCTAGGTGACAGAAGAAAAAGTTCTGCGTTTGAAACCTGGACGGGTCAGTTAGTTCTGCCAATATGGGTCTGCATACAAACGCGAACTGGTAAGCATTGTAAGTTCACGTAAGGACATAGGGGATCAAAATACTCAGCCTGATCCCAATAAATTAGAGAAAATTTAACAAAACTTTACTAGGTATACAGATAATTCTGTATCGCAAAGGTCGTTGCCTGAAAGCGCCATTTTTTAATCTGTTGGCATCCTTGCAATAGTGTGATATTACGGATAGGTAATAAAGGATAATCTAGAGTTGAAACCTTAAGTGATATAGCAGACCGACTAAAAGAAAATGCAAGGAAAACCCAAACTAAGCACTACAGCCTAAGGATATCTTCAAGTGAATGGACTATTGAGTTCGATATAAAAACGCTGGAGGTACCCACCGAAGTGAGAAGCACAGTTCAATACTATCACTCCGCCTTGACGAGTAACTTATTTCGCCTATTACATTGATTGATATTATACAATAATTTTAACTAGTAGACATTTTTTTGCGATAATTAATAGTCATTTCGATTAACTAACCCCAATTAAAACTATCGGCTAAACCTACTTTTTGCGATAATAGAAAATATTGCAGCCAGCCAGAATCTTTTCGTCAACATCAGACATATATATATATATTTACCCAACAACAGACGTGAACACCTAGATACAGAGTATTGTTCTGAAATTGTTATCTCAATAAAAGTAGATTTTCCATCGCGATTACAGCTTTGATTCGGAACTTAATTTTTTTTTTAATATATAATAACTACTATTCCTTTTTTAGTCCACAGACAACTTTTTAATAGTAACCGTACGGCAAGCGATATTTGTAGGTGCCGATTCGTTGAAGAGCCGCTTAAACATGCTACACAGAAAACATAGAGGAATTATAATCTGTCCTAATAGCAAACCAAAATTTGCGAACATGCAGGAGCTTGAAAGAGCTAAAATTTCAAAATGCGCAAAAAAATTAAACGCGACTAACTGTTGGAGTTTTCCTGGCCGATCCAATTGGTCTCTTTCCTGTTTTTTTATTGCCCCTTCAAAAACAACTTCGCTGGGGTGAGAGCTCTAACAGGCCCTCGTACAATAGAGCTTTATAATCTGTACGCTTTGTCGATGATTCATTTTGGGGATATTTTAGGATTCGAGCACACATATGTAAACACATATGTGAAGGTACTACGTACGTTTGTGGATATTACGGTGCGGATTATTTAATTCACGATTGTATTTTCCAATCTACGGGAAACACTGTGCTGGAAAATGTGTGATGGGTTTGCAGAACGCTGTAATAATGCCGAGACCCCCAGTCTATTACTAACGGGACAGTCATCTAGTTGGGAGCAGTTTCAAACTGACGCCAATATTAAACGACTAAATGCACGTACCTAATCTTTGTTTTTTTTTACCAACACTCCAAGATTTTACCTAGATCTGTAGTATGGTCTAAAACTCAAACTAGTATTAATCGAACAGAGCCTGCTTAGTGTCATGCTTAGAATCAAAACTGGAAGTTTCATAGGAAGAACCCGTGTAGCGATGAGGCACATTTTAGCAATGAGAGAAAGAGGGAATGTGTGTTAAAGAAACCGACAATTCTCGGGCTATCCACGCTAGGCGTATGTGTACCTCAAAGAAAACGCTGTCACGGTATGTAGGCCAGGGGCATCGTACGCAGTTTTTTGACAAGATTTAATTTCAAAGAGATAATTTCAGGTTGTCTTGTACCTCAGATCGTTGAACAAGGTGCGTAAGGCCCGCAGCGTTAGTAAGGTGTTCCAACTAGTAACGTAGTCGTAGTGTTGAACGATTACGTCAAGCAGCGGCCAATCCTCAACCGATATGGCACCGGAAATCATGTGATATAGCTCCGCTTCTTATGGGAATATGTAGAAGCAAGGTATACACGTATATACGTACGGTGGCCAAAGTTAAGGGAAAAATTCATATCACCAATTAATAGATAGGGCCAGATGTATGTGACACGGAAACCGAATATGAACTATTGATAAAAAAAATTACTGCAGTCGATCTTACCAATATTTCGTTTAACTAGAATCTTGAATGCGCAAACGTATATGTGGACACGTTTTCGTTTTTATCTGTTTTAAACTTATTTTAAAATTGCCTCTCTCAATTAGTCGGTCAAAAATTAAACTATAATAGTGACGTAAAAAATAAGTTCAATTTGATTTGTACCTGATCTATTGTTGGAGTGTCTATTGAGTGTTCATCTTCAATTATCTAGAGAACGGTGAGGTGTACGGCATGAGGTAATGTAAGTAAACTTTAAACGCTTTTAATGTTTTTTTAACGTTTGATCAAATCTTGTACGGTTTTGCGTACATCGCCTAGAAAGCGATACTGCTAACTATATAAATTTAAAAATATATATAATTTTTTTAATTAAATCAATATATTTATACTTTGAGTATAAATATATATATAGTGCATAAAATAACACAGTGTGTTATTTTAGTGATTATATGGTGTTTCTTACATAGCGATTTAAATAAGATAATTTATTAATCTGAATCGATCTTAGCTATAGATTTATTATTATTATCTGTGCTAATTTTCGTATATATTCATAATCTCCACCCTGCTACATTATAAGCGAATCTATAATTTATATGGCCATTAGGAACCTCTCTGTGAGAGTAGGTATTGTATAACCTTACACAAATTCCCTTAGAGAAAATAACTGGATTACACATTCTTAAGGAAATAACAGGGATATACGTTGAACAAGCTGTGTTTAAGCGACCTTCGATGCAACGTTTTAATCTACCACAAAGCAACATTACCATCTAAATACATCGTGTTTCAAAAAATTTTTCCCTAGAAAACTACCTCACCCATCGAGCACAACGTTGCTACCATCGAAGTTGATACGCGTGATGTAGCTGCTGAGCTAGGCGTGCATTGCAATATCAATGCGCCAACACGAAGCTATAGAACAGGAATACACGAACGGTCGTTTAAAATTTGGCAAAAAATTTATTGGATACGAAAGTGATGTCCGATAATGTCGGATATATATCAGTATCGCTAAAACCATTCACTTTTATCTTAGTAGTTGCAAAGATATTCGTAGGTGATTGGCCCCAGCTGGACGTTAGCTCTTTGGCATTTGTTGTGGACACTATCGTTGCCAAGTACCCGAACCATGACATACGCATCCCTTCTTGGATGCGTTGAATAATACTGCGGAATCAATGTGACAATTACGAATCCAAGACTCTCATAGAGCGCAATAGCCCCGAGGTTTTCGCTCATAACCTGCAGGTATATGGCCTGTGTTCCAAAACGCTACCGAAAATACAACAATTCAAAAATAGTGAGAAGTAAAAATGGCTTCTTTCAGATCTGCTAATGTCACTAGTGATCTCTTAATTAATGACTTGAGGCCTTATCACTTTGTGTATTACAAATTCTTGTCAAGGGTTGAACAAATCGGTCGAAGGTGGGAATGATGTGTAAACTACATTGAAATATAGGTAAATCGGCCTGTACATACTTCAGTAAGGCCCAATCTATATGCTCGTAATAAGGATTTATAAAATCGTACCGACTCAAACCCATTATCTGCTCGTCGTAATGCATACTGTTATACAGACCGCATAACTTGGAGGAAGACAAATCTAGCGATGTAATAAACGTCCATTCTAATCGATAGAACACCAAATCATATCTACTAGTTCTGAGATAAGGTTCATGGAAAATATAGAAGCATGAACAAAAAACATGACACTTACTAAGTTTGGACAACTTTCAAGTTGTTCTAAGATTGTATTCATGAGTCTTCTTCCAATTTGTTGTCTTCGGAACGGCTTATCGACAGCAAGAATCTTTACCAGGAACATCTTGCTTGGACACAATCCGAACTGAAGTTAAATCAGTTGAAGTTTATTACGTTCCCTTAGGAGCCGCATAAATTGAACAAGTGCAAAGTAATTTGATCAGAAAGGCCTTCGTCCTATGCAAAAGACATCGTGCGGCCCTAGCAGAAGTCGAGGTATATAAAAGTGTACCTGGATTATTCGCATAGGACTAAAACTGCCGTGACGTAAATGTTAATCAGTTAGTAAAAGTATTCAGTGTAAATATCAGTAAAAAAAAAAAATGGAACTATACGTAGAATGCATAAACGGACCTACCCTTTGCAGGACAGGTATAGGGGGACGAGGTTCTTCTAGTGATCCAAAGACGAGCCCAATTAATCTCCCATGCGCCGTGAAAGCGCCATAAGCACGACACGAAGAGTTCAGGAAGTCTCGCTGCTCGAATATCGAACAGATTTGTTGGCAAGGGGGACATTGAGACGTGTCGATATTGTACAGTATAATTGCCAATATACGATAGGATTTGCGAAGGCGTTTTAAGTACAACAACAAAAAGCAACAGTTCAACAGAGAGCCTATATCAATATATTAATAATAGAGGACATTTGCCGTTGAATACGCCCACGCAAACGACACGCGTTCACTACCCCATTCGCCGTTCACGATGGCTAGGGCAATCCATACTTGCTCTACCTATTCAGGTTTCGAGGGTGTCCGCAGGGTGGTATCGGTTGGATTGTGCTACCGCTAAGATCGCAACTTCATAGGTAAAAAACCCACTGCTTTCGGGTAAAGAAGACATTGTACGTTTCCTCATTAAATGTGTCATTTAGATATACAATAGTTTTTTCAACTGAAATTAGATTACGTCACATTGTTATGTTACTCATGGACCATTCCGTGAAAGAAACGTCGTTTAATTCAGAAAAATATGTAACGCCTCGCAATTGTGGCCAGATAAGTCAAGCTCGTGGCACCTTTCGAGAATTTTAGATTCTAAGGAGGTCGCTAGTTATATATATATATATATATATATAAGCGTCGACACATCCCCATCGTACTACTTCTTGGCAAACGACGGTAACTGCAGGATTGTAGTTCGTCTGTTTTTTTTTTTTTAATCATCGTATGCTTTTTGAGAAATTTGAAATCCATTCTTGCTAGACGACTTAACGTATTGATATTTGAATAAGCCAGTTATTAGGATTCCTATCTAGGCCAAAAAATATATTGTGTGTATGTTTGCATTCATTTTATATATTTCTGTTATACGAAGGCACTGAATTTAGCCCATAGGTTGTCGATAGGTACAAGCTAAGTTCTCCAAGTGTAGAAAAATAATGATTTTCTGTCACTGTTGTTTTCGGCAAGATAAAAATACGGTTCTGATTTTTACATACGGAATCAACACTTGTTCAGACAACGGTCGAGCAATCAAAGCACTTGACAGAGTTATAAAGCATAAAAAATCATGTCAGTCAGATAAGCCCTTTCCTGTTAGATCGCAGACTAGTAGAAATCCTTTTAGCTCTTACCAATACTCAATCGACCAAGTTACAATGGCGGTATTAGTTCGACCTACTAACATTAAAATTAATTATGTTTAACGAACTTCAAGAATTTACATTCCTACAGAAGTGACTCACCTCCAGAAAAGCCCGGTGGTAAGAAAGGGGCAAGTTGGCATTTGCCACAGCCGTCATCTCGTCTACATGTTTTCGAAAAAGAGGACGAATCAATATCTCATTATTTTGCCTGCAGCCCGATAACACGGGATAGTTACCCCGTCTATAATAATTTTGTGTCGGATACGAAGACATCGTTTCTTTTCGAGAAAAACACGGAAATCGGTAGCACTAAGTGAAATTCATAAAAGGAGTTATCATCTGGCCATGTGGGAAGACACGTAGTTTAGCTTGTTTCGATTGATGCCACATATAGGCAGGTACAAAGCGACGCTAAAAATCGGCCCGCGGGAACATTCAAATACTCTGTTTGAGAAACGCATTATATACATATTATACGGGGTCGAAAGGGTGGTGTGATGGCGGCTCAATAGATAGTAGCTCCTAATGGTTTTAACGCTTTCGGCTTTTCCAACTATGTGAGCAGACCATCGGAATCATCTCTTCGGTTTAGCATCAAAAAAATTGCCCCTACTAGAAGGTCTAATTGGGGTGGGTCTTGTTGGATTTACTACCTGGGGCTGTTTTGATAGAAGTGTTTTCTTTTTTTTTTTTTTTAATTTTTAGTCGTCGAGTTACCGATTAAAGCATGTATCATACGGTTATAGCGCTAAGTTAAGCTAAGTAGCTTCTATGCTTTGAGCTTTTAACGTTTCCATTTCTAGTCGATCCAGCTAGATAAGCAAACCAAAAAGACACAGTTCAACGTCACCCAAAAATGACTATAGGCACAATGTGATTGATTATTATCACAGTGCCTCGTTATATCTGTGATTGAAGAATGTGACCAAGCAAACTCATTTTTAAGATAGCAGATCTCTTTGTCTACCAGCATAACATTACTTGATAATAAAACGAACTACTGTTCACACAACCGCAGGCGCAGGCGCAGGCTCTCAGTTCGTACGAAGTTTGCTCCGTTACCCCCTGCGTTTCTTTTCCGTGCCTCTATTTTCAACTCCCCTTAAGAATATATGAAAAAAGTGAATGTTATTCGAAAGGCATACATCAGCTGGCACTGAGTATTGGTTTAAACAAGGCGGAATATTTAACAGTGGATGTATTTTGAAGTCTTTTGACCAAAGATAGCAATGAACGTATTAGAAAATCAACATCGAATTGTAGCAGTCGGGTAAGGTTGTTTCGAGACGTGACGTGTTTGCAAAAGCATTGGAGTTTATCAGAGGCGCCGGCCGCGAATGAGGCCACGTGCTGGTACCGTCCATCCGGTGGTGATACTTTTCTAGACGTTAAAGGTGTCGCGTATTTTTATTTTATGGTACTGTACTAGGTAACTCAACGGAAGTAAGAACGTCAAAGCGATTTTACCGACATGCTTGATTAAGCTAATACCGCCTAACCTGTCTATGATGCCTAAAGTGCGCTGACGCAATATCCTAGGAACAAATGCGGTGCACATATCGCTTTTTGATGAAAATACGAACTCAATGTAAGTTAAACGTTTTTGATAAGTTAAACTTCGAATTTAACTTGCGGAAGATATCAATCATTTTTAGCGTTTGTCACTAATTTTTCCGAATTACGGTATTTAACAGCTATACTCATGCTCGATTAACTTGAACAAGGAGTATAGATTTTTTTTTACTACGATACATACTTTTTTTAACATAAAAAAGTCTTACTTGTAAAAAATATCTCTAACTTCAATTTAACAAAATATTAAATATGCTATACACTTTTTTACGATTTTCCTCTATGTGACTGAGCTGAAAATAATGACCCAAATAACAAATACGAACAAAAGAGAAACTTTCGCTGAATAGAATTGACCCAGGTTAAGAAGCAAGCAAGAAGACCGTTTTCTGTAATTTCAGCATTTCTACAATCATTTAAAAAGTGCTCCATATTGACCATGCGTATTACACAATACATGCAAGCAAAAACCAACGGAACGGAGCGAACGTCCGAAGGTAATTAATTCGAAGAACAATCTCATATATATTTACGCTTTACGTCATGCAAATTTGCGGTTTTATTAAGAATGATTTAGAGAAATTGTCCCTTGAATTTCGGTGAAACGAGCTTGAACATGACGAAGGCGTCTCTTGCAGGATTAAGGGCGTAGTACTTCGGCCAAACAACCATTCGCTTAAATCCGACACTTTCATAAACTCGAATCGCTCGAAGGTGTTCCGTCATGACGTGTAGATACACGAAATCCGCATTTGCTATCTAACAATAAGATTTTGTTGATTATCACGAATGCTGTTTTTGCTGTGTTGACAGGGCAAAAATAGGGCATTTAATCGACAAACCACTGATTATAGCTACCATCTTGCACGGCCTTCCTTTGGGCAGTTCCTTTCTCGGGCGTAGTGTTAGTTGATTGTATAAACACAAGTTAGCAAGGGCGACAGATTACGCATGGTACTTTGTGCTCTGACTTTGTACGCCATATGTATACTTGGTTATTAATTGTGGTTTTTATCTGTATATACTTCGACCACATCATGGTTGATTAACCGATATTTCGTTTGGTACTTTATGCGATACATAATAGGCGCAATAGTCATCCCAAAACTCGTATTGAAAGAGGGCAGGTCGAAAAATTTGCCTGTCAAATTACCTAGAAGTTTTTCAACGCTAATAGTCTACCATCCTGCTGTGTTAGAAGATTTAGATATCTAGATCTTTTAGATAAGCTCATACACCTATGACTAGACGACGCGACCTTGTTTTGAATATCTAAAAAAAGGTTCTGTCTAAAGTTACACCAAGTAAACGTGTCAAAATCAGATCCTTTTCTCAACCCTGCGATCATGTTTCCCTCACCTGATTAAAGTGACTGACTAAGTGTTTACGAATTTCACGTTCGATACTACTAATATATATTTCCATGAAAGGCTGGCCCCCTCCAGCTCGAAACGAACCGTGTCCGCATCCGGGTTTGATCCTAGAACACCTCCATGTTACTTCTGCTAGTAGGCGAACACGTTACCTCTTCACTATGACGGAGTCCAGCTGAGCTTTCTGTACCTCATTCAATGTCGCGAGGCTATTGGATAAAGCTACCACTTGTTGCTATTACCGTAACACTCTTTGTATCCCAGCAATTTGTCGCCATTGCATCAAAGTAAACATTTCGGGATGTGCTATAGGTTACCACCTTTCGTCATATATTGAGCAACGACAAAGCGTTTCCGAGGAATCTTTTATAAGGTAGATATATGCATATACAGAAACAAAAGCAAGGGCGAAAGAGTAGACTTACGGTGGAAAACGACATGAGTTTTGAAATCGGGAAGAGGGATTCTCGTATAGGAAAAGGATCGGTTTTGAGTTAGCAGGAATACTATTTTGACGGCAAATTGGCTCTCATCACTTAATATTTTTCCTAGTATAAGCCTACTCTTGCCCTCGTACGTGTGACATGAATTATACAAACCGTTGGAGAGCTCTCTGGATCAATTACCAATTTTACTAATCGCGTGCCTATGCCAAGAGATTGAAACGACTTGTCTACGCCTACCAGCATTATACAAAAGCCCTTCTTTTGCTCTACCTGCAACTGAAAATGTTTATCTTGGATTCAGAAACTTTTGCTACATATGCTTATACATATGCATGTAAAAAATATACTCATATTCTATAAAATACATTTTGCTCAATTATTATTATACATGTAAAATGTTATTTTATTATAATCTAAATGCATTTTGCATCTAAAACAAAACCTATTTTTAGGTCTGGGGCCTTACATTCAAAAGACAAAACTTTATCGAACAACTACATAGCTGCGACCTTGCTCTTAAAATCTTCAATGGGAGAGTTTTGAGAAACGCAATAATGTAGATTTAGAGCGTTGGCCGGTAGTTTGGACTATTAGTAGTATCCTAACAGGGGTAACGAAACGTAAAATTTTCGCGAAAACTATTATGAATAATATGTTTAGATTAAATAAAACACTACGAGCAGTTGAAATGATCTCCTTGAGAATGGACGAGAATAGTAAACGCACCTGGGTTAATGCCCTGGGAACAAAGACTAGGTCAAAATCCCCCAAAATGAAGCCGACCAATTTTTCGTCCTCATTGAAAGCGCCGATAGCTGTACCCGTCGTAGAGTCGATAACTTTCTAAGAACATTAAGATAAAAAAGATAAGTTAAAAAAGTGGTGTAATTAACACCGTATCCATAAAACTTTTGAAATCTAGTGACGGAACATTCGATTCCTACTAAATAACAACGCTCTACAAATAATAAACAATGATAACAAGGATAAACTGCGTCCATTGGAAGGTACTGTAATTTACGTTCTTCATTGTTCAACATGGCTGTTTCCGATTTCCTATATTTTTCACCTTCTTCGATAGGTAAGTACAGTTGATAAAGCTTTAAAGCGATGTACTTGTATTGGCCAACCCTGTACTAGACATATTTTTTAGAAGCAGTACTCACCTTCAGAAAAAACCTTGGGTAGAAAAGGGGCAAGACGGAATTAGCTAGAACAAACGTGGCTTCCACGTCCGACGGACGGAGTCGTCGATAGGAAATTCTAACAGTAGCTTTTTCGAATGATTTTGGTGACGTTGAGTCCTCCGAATTTGATGATTCTTCCAACATAATTTCTACAAATGCAGAGGTAAGCGTCGTTTTCCGCCGCAGACAACTTAAACACCGTTAAATTGTTCTAATTAGCGAAATCAAAATTTGAACACAGGTGCGCTAGGATCGCCAGGATTTCTGCTAACCTGCAGACAGGGTAGTGTGCCATCTGCTTTCAATACCTTCATTTATTTATACAGCTCAGTTACTCTAAATACATGGAATATAGCTTTCTGGGATATAGGAATATTAAGCTCAGCCTGAAGCGCATCATAGCTTCCAACTTTGGGATTTTCGGGCACTGCTACGGAACCCATGAGATGCCCGCCCCTCGTAGCCACCCCACCTCCATATATCTTTTGGCATTGTTGACATATAACAATATTATATTTTTCTCATAGCAGACATCTCTTTGCTTGAAATGAGGCTCTTAATGATCGGACGTGTCAAGTCATGGCTGTCATTTACGGTACATAGTATCTACACGCTAAATTCTATACCATGGAATTAGGACTATAGGAAAGCATAACTTTCATTGGATAATCAATAAAGTTGTGTGCTGAGATGATAAATGCAGATGTAATACTACCTCAACGGAATCTTCCTAAGGAATCGTCTACACCAAACATCGACGATCAAAGGCTTTAAATAACTTTTGGGATAGGATCGATAAAATACCTTAAATAAAGCTGCGATTTAGCTTCATTTTATGCGCGCTGATATTTGTTAATGTTGAGTGATATACGAACTTATTCCTAATTTTTTTCTTGCATACGAAGATAGCATAATTTGAAAACTTAAACGAGTAAAGGTTTAACAAAAAAAAGATTCCGTTTAGCCGCAAATAAACGAATTTAGCACAGGTTAAACAATTTAATGTAACAACGTAACGTATATTGGTACTACCCTTGTAGGGCATCGATTTAGCACAGCTTTGAGCCTATTTCCCTTTGAGACAGACACTGGAAGCAATATACCGCACTGTGTATACAACCTTGCGTGTGAACTAGATAATATGTTCAATATGTGATAAAACCGTCGTCGAGATAAAATCAAGTCCACTTTAACTTACCAAAATCTTTCAATCTGCTCTGCGCAAAACCGATCTGCCTAGTCGAACCCAAGTCTAGCTGTTGTCATCCAGTCTGTAACAAGGATCCCACTGTGCTGTACTTCCAATGTTCAGGGTTAAAATTTAGATTATCTTATTCGGTTTTTTTTTAATTACTATACATAGATGCTATATATTCTTGCTACAGTTCTATAAATATATGAAACTATGAAATGAATATATGAAGGTAATTCTGTCAGCGTAATACTCAGTTACTACTTGGGGGTTAGGCAGATATGACCATACGGTGTCCTGCCTTGACACCTACTCTATTTCGATATATGAATTATCATCAGTGAAGCATATCGAAGATAAGCCCAAACGATTTTGCGTGTTTAACCTTTATTAGGGTGTGATCAGATGTTGTTTAAGTCGTTAGATGACTTTGCCATAAAGCACCCCGCAAGTCGAAAAAAGTAAGCCTTTAATTATCTAAAAGGACTTCAGCTAGACTATGGCCATTTGATCATATATAAGGCAACTTTCGACGATAAGAAACTGTTTGATTTGGCCGTTATGCGCTAAGGTCAACAGTACGAGTTCACAGCCTATTCGAATACTGTGTGAGGACGAAAGGATGTACATGCCCTTTACATAAAATCCCCAGCTAGAAGAGTGTATTTAGTTTACATACTCCTCCGATCAGCTAAAAATGTACAACGCTCCAATGAACGTATAACCGTACATCATTCTGAGGTATTAACAGGCAGCTACATGACTAATCGACAATATTCAATGCCTAAAAGTACATCGAAAAATTATGCTCATATTTTTAGAGTGCACGGCATGCGAAGCTCGGTCGTCCTCTTGTGGGACTACTTTGTTTTCTACGTAATGGAATCTCTTATCTGATTTTGCCGTAGCTGCAGACGCACGACTGTCTTCAAAGCTTCAGAGTTTTACGCGTAACTAACCTTAACAGCACTACTACCACATTTTCACACTATCCGTTAGTCGATCAACCGGCCCGAGTCAAAAACAGTGTCAGGCCAAGAAGCAGTTGTAGACTTGTTTATGTATTACGGTTAAGAAGATGTGCGTAACAATGGCTAAGGGATTCACTGTGTTGGTTAGTTGGATATTGCTCTGTATCATTCCCGTGACGTATTCGTACAAGGGACGATTTTATACGTTGGTTACACCATCTGATAAGGACGCCTACACGAACACCCGGCCCAAGTGTACAGTCTCCTACAACATCTGTTACTACATCTACTAGTCGAGATATTGACGTTATAGCCGAACATTCAATAGCACAGTCTGAACTCGAAGGAAATGACTTAGACCTTATTGAGGCTTTCGAGCACACTGAAATGCCGAATAAAGTTGACTCAGATGAGCAAACGGATGAGGAGAACCAGGTAAGATTACTAAAGTTTTTTGGATAAGTTCTTGGCTTTGCGAACAAAACTTTTATTGTCAATATTGATTAGAATGAAAAGTGTATTTAAGAAATTTAGTCATATACGGGCAAGTGTTATGACGAATATTTACTATGAAACGGATGCTATAATTACGTAAGTATTATGTAAATAAATGCGTCTGATACATGGGGTCCAGGAGTGTTTTGCTCTACTCAGCTGCACAGAAAGGACGTCAGACTATCACTGGACCGTCCTACGGAACCAACGTGCCTTTTTGTTTTTCGTTTAATTAACAGCTGCTTGTTCAGTGACTTAAATTAAGCTCACATTTGACTGGAACTGCAATTAGGGAATAGTGCCATTGGGTGCTTGAAAGCCCCAACGGGTTTGGCCGTCTAGCCGTTGTAGAGCCATACGTTACTTGGAAGCCCTAAAGGGTTTTGCTGTTTGGCCGTTATGATAGGGAATAGTGCCATCTGATATGAATTTGGCCATCTGGTTATTGTGCCAAAGAAAAGAGACATATGGTGCTTGAAAGCTTCAAAGAGTTTGGCCGTCTGTCTGTGTAGTAAAGACAAAAAGCCATATGGTACTTGGAAGTTTCAAAGAGTTTGGCCGTCTGGCCGTTGGGATAGAGAATAGTACAATCTACTACACTAAAAATACCCTAATGTGTGTTCGAGAACATAGAGGCATTCACTACTGATATTTAACACGGTGAGGAACAACAGTCGGGTTACGGCTATGGGCATTTTTCAACTAACGTACAGGGAGGTTACCTATATTATTTAGTTCTTCCGCAGAAAAACTACATTGTGTAGACTGGCCTAGTAAGTGACGACAGTATTTTAATGAGACCCCCGCCAATAAAAATCTTCTGAGGCTAATAAGGATCTCAGTTTTTAATATAATAAGACTAATAAGGAATGAATGACGGCTACATTCATTAAGATATGAATCTAAAACCTAATGAATCACAGCTGTATCAATCAAGAGATTTTGTTCAGAAATAGTGTTTCTTGTTTCTGGTGTCTTCATTTTATCAAACTATAAGCCGAATATATATTTAAACAAACTGGCTTACAACCACTCTGACATGGCCGTAGATGTAGTAATATTTAATCTATTACAAGTCGGCTATGTTTATCGGTAAAGTATCCCCATATCGCGGCAGGTGTTCCTTAGCGTCTAGCCTTAGTCAACATTACGTTCTGCCGTCCATACCGCCTCGCGATTTTTTTGTACGCGCATCGAGCAGGATTCGAAAACCAACTAACAGATCGCACAACTTCCGTTATACGACGCAATCGCGGACGTCGACACCTCTCGTTTCTCTGACGGATGCTCTGTTTTCGTCGTAGTGCCCGTGAGTTTGGCCGTTTCTTCTTCTTAATAAGGTCCATATTCGCCTTTCTTTAGTGACGAATTTTGCAGATTCATTGCCCACTGAGTAAAAAGGGCCGTACTTTCACGAGCTGTCGCCCGTGTACTCCCGTGTCCTAAGCCGACTTCTTCTGTTTGTTGGACTAAGTCACCATACGACGACCAAATTTCTGTGTGACGTACCAAGACTTCGGCTGCTCGCGGAGTACCGACTCGTTTTTAATGGCGGTTCTTTTCTTTAAGCATTTAGGTTATGTGGCATGCTGATTTAACTCTTGCGGTCAACGGTTAATGTAAGTTAAAACGATCACAGCACCTCAAAAATTTCCTGTGTTTTAATACTGAACGACTTGTAAGCATACCAGTGGCGTGTTTTTTTCGGACTAGGCTAAACCACTCTCATTATGTAGATTTTATCGGAAGTTAATTACGCGAGAACCTTACATATTGTAATGACATCCAAAAGGTGTACTTCTGATGGAGAACGGTCGCTCGATATTTTTCTACTCTTCGAAATGACCCAAGAAGTAACAATGAAAATAAAGAAAAAAAATAGACCTGTCATCGACGTGACAAATTTGTGACGGAGTTATGTCCCCCTACATTTAGTTCCCCTATAGGTGAGCAACGAGGCACCTTCGCGTTTGGAAATATACGTGTCGGATATTGATCCTCAATGATCTGAGGCTATGCCTCTCTATGACTCGATAACGAACTGTGGGTCGACCCACATTAGCGCCCAGAATCTGCGTTCATACAACTGCGACGCTATCCAACCAACGCACAACTATTCTTTCAGAGCTCTTCGATTTACCCGTAACGGATCCAGAGAACAGAGTAACTGACTTTAATTTATCATAACGAGATACACGTTCATCTAGCAATCCAAACTCGCAGCAAAATGGCCGATGAGGAAGAAGATAACTACCTCATAACGCGCCACCTTTATTCAGTGATGCTCCGACTGTAGTGAATCCTCAATGGGATAATAAATGCTCATTGATAGATTTATCATTCGAATCAATAGTCTCCAATTCAAGCCGACTCAAACTAAGACGCTAAGTACAAAGAATAGAATTGGTCTATTCTTCGTATGTTAGGGAGAAGTAAGTTAGTTTTAGGCCTCGATTCAACGCTCATATCTCTAACGCATTTCAGGCATAACTTGGAACACGCAAATAGCACAGACTTGTTTAAAAAAAAATAAATGCCGAAAATGAATGAGAATACAAATAGCTTGGAAATTTTTTTTTGCGTGCGCATAATTCAACTAC